TGTATGGGATCCTATAGAGATCCGATACAGACTGTATAGGGTCATGTAGATATCCAATACTGACTGAATGGGATCCTGTACATATCCAATACAGACTGTACATCGTCTTTCTCATCATCACCATCATCATCATCATCCACCTCGTATTACTCATCGCCCACCTCGTCTTACTCATCAGAAGCATCATCCTCCACCTCGCAATCGTCATCATCATCGTCATCATCATCCACGTCGTCCTCATCATCACCATCCCCACCATCCTCATCATCGTCGTCATCATCACAGACTCTATAGGGTCCTATACAGATCCGATACAGACTGTATGGGATCCTATACAGATCCGATACAGACTGTATGGGATCTTGTACAAATCCGACACAGACTGTATGAGATGCTGTAGAGATCCGATACAGACTGTAAAGGATCCTGTACATATCCGATCTAGACTGTATGGGATCCTGTAGAGATCCGACACAGACTGTAGAGGATCCTATACATATCCGATCTAGACTGTTATGGGATCCTGTAGAAATCCGATACAGACTGTATGGGATCTTGTAGAGATCCGATACAGAATGTATCGGTTCCTGTAGAGATCCGATACACACTGTATGGGATCCTGTAGAAATCCAGTACAGACTGTAAAGGATCCTATACAGATCCGATACAGACTGCATGGGATCCTGTAGAGATCCGATACACACTGTATACGATCCTAAACAGGTCCGATACAGACTGTATAGGATCCTATAAAACTCCGATACATACTGTATAGGATGCTGTAGAGATCCGATATAGACTGTATAGGATCCTATAGAGATCCGATACAGACTGTATAGGATGCTGTAGAGATCCAGTGCTGACTGAATGGGATCCTATACAGATCCGATACAGACTGTACCTCGTCCTACTCATCATCATCATCCACCTCGTCTTACTCAGCGCCCACCTCGTCTTACGCATCATCAGCATCATCGTCCACCTCGTCTTACTCATCATCATCGTCATCATCCTCATCCACGTCGTCCTCATCATCACCATCCCTCTCATCATCATCATCATCATCGTCGTCATCATCACCATCATCATCATCGTAGTCGTCGTCGTCGTCATCATCATCATCGTCATCATCCTCATCCACATCATCCTCATCATCACCATCCTCATCATAATCCTCATCATCATCAACATCCTCATCCTTATCCTCATCCTCATCATCGTCGTCATCATCACCATCATTATCATTGTCATTGTCGTCGTCGGCGGCCTCGTCCTCCGCCCCGCCAATGTCCCTCTATCTCCCTGCCCCTCCCACCGGGCTGGCACGCCAGGTGGCGCGCGGTGGCGGGGCGACGAAACCGACGACGACGACGACAACGACGACGGCGGCGACGACGACGACGACGGCGACGACGACGACGGGGGTTATAGAATTCCTACGGAGGCCTATAGAATCCCTATGGAGGCCGATAAAATTCCTAGGGGGCCGATAAACTTTCTATGGGGGCTTATATAGAATTCCTATGGAGACCTATAGAATTCCTCTGGAGGCCCATCGAATTCCTATGGAGGCCTATAGAATTCCCATGGGGGCCTGTAGAATTCCTATGGGTGCCTATAGAATTCCGATGGGGGCCTATAGAATTCCTAGGGAGGTCTATAGAATTCCTATGGAAGCCTATAGACTTCCTAGGAAATCCTATTAGGGAATCCTTGGCGCCCCCAGGAGACCCCCAGAAAGAGTTGCTCGGTTGCTTGGGGGGGGGGGGCGGCCGGGGTTCCCACGCACACCTTTTCCAACAAGAACAACAACAACAATAACAACAGCAACAACAACAGCAGCAGCAGCAACAACAACAACAACAACAACAACAACAGCAGCAGCAGCAGCAGCAGCAGCAACTGCAACAGCAACCACAACAACAACAGCAGAAGCGGCAACAACAACAACACCAACAACAACACCATCAACAACAACAACAGCAGCAACAGCAACAACAACAACCACAACCACATCAACCACAACATCAACAACACTAACAGCACCATCAGCAACAACAACCACAACAACGACGAGGACGACGACGACAACGACAACAACAGCAACAACAACAGCAACAGCAACAGCAACAACAACAACAGCACCATCAACATCAACAACAACACCAACAGCAAGAACAACAACGACAACCACAACAGCAATAACATCAACAACACTAACAACACCAACAACAACAACCACAACCACAATCACAAAGACGACGACGACAACAACAACAGCAACAGCAACAGCAACAGCAATCACTTTACCCGAACGCTCAGTGTTCTCACCAGTGCCAGGGTTTTCATGCGACGCCAGCCAATACCCCCACTTTGTGGGGGGGCAATGCAAGCTCTACCAAATATCCACACGACTCTTCGCCACCACCCACACCCAGCTTCCCGCCCTATGACGTTCGGACACTTCACTTCGTGGCCTGCGGACGACCGTGGCTACTACACTGGCGTGGAGTACACACCCACAGAAGTTGTTAAGCCTACGTTCGTACACCCACAGAAGTTGTTAAGCCTTGTTAACCCACAGAAGTTGTTAACCCACGGTGCGATTCGTGTGATTTTATGATGCGCGGTGCTAAAATTCTTAAGAAGCCCAATGGTTTTTGGAGATTTCGGCGTGCGCGCGCGAAGAAAAAACGAATGTGTCCCGCATGGTATTATTTGACAGGGATGATGGCCCTGGCAGGTGCGCAACCGTTGTCGCAGAAGTTCGAAAAAGTTGCTCGCAAAAGCCCGTTTGACAGAAATGTTTAAAAAGTGTTGGGTTTCCTACGAATCCGCAAGAGCGCGCGGGATGAGATTTTGACATTTTTTTGTTGAAAAACCATTGGTTTTTTGATGTTTTTATGTTAAAATCGCTCCGAACACTAAGCTTTTGGAAGGATTTCGTCTTGCGCGCGCGAATGTCCACTTTACCTTATTTTTTGCAAGGGATTCTTGAAATTTGATTATATTAGAACAAGAAATGTCATTTTATAGTGTTTTTTGCAAGGGAAAACGGATTACAACAAAACAACCGGATCTGGATGACATCGTATTACCTGAGGCTTCCTCACGAAAATGATGAAAATGTAGCTGCGGCCTAGGCGCGGCGGGGGGGGCGCGCACCAGGGGTCCCAACAATAATTATTCTTTAGAATTAATAATGTTCAACAACAACAGCAACATCAACAACAGCACCACCAACAACAAAAAACCTAAACAGCCGCAGCAGCAACAACAGCAACAACAACAACACCAACACCAACAACAACACCAACAACAACACCAACATCAACACCAGCAACAGCACCGCCAACACAAACACCAACACCAACACCAATAACACCAACACCAACAACACACAGTTCAATATTGGTCGCTTATATCTGCTCGCGTGCCATTCAACACGTATGTCCCAAACCCTCGGTACCGCCTTGTTCGTCTTCGATCGTACCCCCTTGGGGGTATATCTTTCTTGCCTTCCACGTGCATGTGATGCAGCCCCGAAACAAAGGGGAGAAAAGGACGGATGTAAGGGGGAGGGAGCAGGATGGAGCACGAGAGGAATTAGCAGGAGGGGGGCTAGGAGCGGAAAACTGGTGGCAGAACCAGACGGGCAGATCGGGCGGGCAGACCCTACTGGGCGGGTCGGGAAGGCGGGCCCAGGCGGTCTGGTCGAGCAGGCGGGTTGCTGAAGCGTGAGTCCTGCATGAAACGCGAGGAAGTCTCGAGCAATAGCGATCCCCAAGTAAATCATTAGAACAGCCAGAGTGAGGGCGTGATTCCTGAAAGTTGAGGGCGCGGCGTATGAATCAATGAATCAATTGCGAGGAAGTCACACGCGAGAGCGTGCTTCCTTCCTCCTCCTCGTCTGCCTGATACTCCCCCTCCTCCCTCCTCCCTTCTCTCTCCTCCCTCCTTCCCCTCCCCCTCCTCCTCCTTCTCCTCCTCCTCCTCCTCCTCCTCCTCCTCCTCCTCCTCTTCCATCCTCCCCCTCTTGAGGCATGGCGGCTTCCCATCATGTACTCTGCTGCGTGCTCCCCAACATGCCTGATCAGGGCAACTCGCTTGGGCTTCGTTTCTGGATGGGCTGGTGGAAGGCTGCGAAGTGTCAAGGAATAGGAGAGGAGTAGATAGAGTAGAGTAGAGTAGAGTAGAGTCGAGTAGAGTAGAGTAGAGCAGGGTAGGGTAGGGTAGAGCAGGTCAGGGCAGGGTAGGATGTAGAGTATGGTAGAGTAGAGCAAAGTCGAGTAGAGTAGGGTAGAGTCGGATAGAAAAGAGTATGATGAAGTGGAGTAGAGTCCTCCCAAGTCCAATAAAGTCTGATCCAGTCCAGTCCACCTCTGATCTATTTGGAGTCTGCGCTGGCTGATAGTGGTTGTTCTCTTTCAACTGGCATTTCGAGTGTCGTGGGGTACGCATGTCGATGTGCATGTTCATGTCATGTTGGCTTGAATGCCGCTTATGTGCATTTTGAACTGCGGTCCTGCATATATATATATATATATATATATATATATAGATGTATATATATATATATATATATATATGGAGTGTTGCGCTTATATTTGCATGTCGAGCTGGATTTATACGTGCATGCTGCGTTCCGGGACGGGGAGCGGGACGGGGAAGGAGCGAGGCAGGGGGCCAACGTGGTTCTGCATGCACCCGCTGCGCGGCTGCCGATCGCATGGCCTGACGTTGTCCTTGCTCCTGCCTTCCTCGCCCAAGGGGGGCTCGGAGGAGTCTGTGGGCCTGACTGAAAGGGCCCTGGGACACACAAATGAATACACAAATAACAGGATCCCCCATATTTTCCCATATTTTCTGGGTTTTTGTCTTCCCCCCCGCTTCTCATGTTTTCCAATATTTCTGGGGAATCGACGATGAATTGTGTCTGTGTGTTTCTTTCCCTCCTGAACTCACCAGCACTCACTGCGGCAGGCGAGGCACGGCCGCGCCTCGCAAGAGAGCAGTCCTTTTCCAAATACTTGCGCTGCTTCGAGGAGAAGACCGAGAGCTTCGCGTGCAGCGCTGGGCGGGCATGCTACGCACGTCGCGAGCTGCCCAGTGCTCTTGCCGCTAGTGAGCGTTTTTTTGCGTTCGGCTCTTCGGCATTGGGCGGAAAGGAGGGGGGGAGGGGGGGTCTGGCTCCAGACCCCGGCTTAGTGCGACGGATTGCAAGAGTGCTGCCTCTAGGGGAGACTCCACCCGCTCGAAACAGGCGCCCCCAAAAACAGCCAAGATCTGCTCCATAAGGGGGGGAGGGGGGGGGATTGCGGGCCCGCGCCGATCGGCAAAACAACGAAGAAAAAAACGATCACCTACTACGCACGTCGCGAGCTGCCCAGTGCTCTTGCCGACACGACTGCCAGAGCATACGCAATGTCTATTTTTAATGACTCCACCGCCGACGTTCGGCTTCTCCATCTGCTGCGGCTGCCCCTGACCAGTCTTAGGTCGGGCATGTCCCCCTACAGGGGGATTTTGAACGAGAAATTGAAAATAGGCCCCCCTAACAAAACCACAAAATAATCTAACATAGTCAAAAGATCGTCCCCTGACTATTTGATCAATACTTTTGAATATCCCCTCCTGTAGAGGGATTGGCCCGACTTAACACCAGTCCTGATGCGCCTCCGCTCCCTCTCCTGCCCGAGGCTGCCCGGTGTTCGCATCGTTGTCTCCTGGACACTGCTCCTCGTGCAGCCGCTGCCCCGCTACTGTTTGGCCACCTATGTGGACAATGAGATGCTCCAGTGCAGGGCTGGACCTAAACGTGGTTTCTCGATGTGGTTTCGTGCTATTTTTTTGTTTTGCTCTGCCTATGTTCCTGTACCTCCCCCCCAAAACGAAAAACAAAACACAGCCGAAGTCCAGAAAAAACAGCGTTTAGGTCCAGCCCCGCTCTAGTGAGCGTTTTTTTTTTATTCGGCGTTGCAACACTGGGCAGACGGGGGGGAGGGGGGGGGTCTGGCTCCGGGCCTCTGCTCAGTGCGGCTGTCTGCAACCGTACGTCCATTGCGTGGGACACTCCGCCTGCGTGAAACAGGCGCAAAACACAGCCAAGATCTACTCCGTGGGAAGGGGTTACGAGGGCCCGCGCCGATCGGCAAAACAATGAATGAAAAAACGAGAAGCTGAATGAGACATCGGCAACACCTGATCACCAACACGGTCCGCGTGAACGACCACGCGTTGCAGGCCCAGGACCCTTCGATCTCGGAGAAAGCAAGCAGTCCATCTGGCACTGCCCTCGTATGTTTCAAATACCGCTTTGGCTGCAGATTACCACACCATCCATCCTCCTGGGTTAAGGCTAGGACCTAGCGAGTCAAAATGTAGGCGAGATGGAGCGCTACTTCAGCATCCGAACTCGATGTAGGGTGTCAAGCACGGTATATTCAGTTTCCTACACCACCACCACCACCACCACCACCACCCGTTCTTCTCTCCTCCCTCACTCCTCCACTTTGCCTCGCCTTCCTCTTCAAATTCGACCTTGAGGAGACGGCTCCGAGATGGCCACACACACGCTTACACACACACACACGCGCGCGCACGTACACACACAAACACACGCACCCACGCACGCACGCACGCACGCACGAACTCTCTCTCTCTCTCACACACAAAACACGCACACACAAACGCACACACACACACACACACACACACACACACGCGCGCGCACGCGCGCGCACGGACACACACACAAACACACACGCAACCACGCAACGCACGCACGCACGCACGCACGCATGCACGCACGCACACACAATCACACCCACACATATATATATATATATATATACAAACAAGCAACCACGTGCACACACACACACATACACACACACACACACACACACGCGCACAAGCACACGCACACGCACACGCACACGCACACCGACACACACACACACTCACACACGCGCGCACACACACGCACACACACACACACACACACACGCGCGCGCGCGCGCCAGCGCGCGCTTGTTTGCGGTCGTGGACTCGCGCAGCGTCGAGGCGGAAACACACGCACACACAGACACACACACACATGCACACACGCATACACGCCCACACACACACACATACACACATACACACACGCACACACACACACGCACGCACGCACGCACACACACACACACACACACACACACACGCACACGCACGCACGCACGCACGCACGCACGCACGCACGCACGCACGCGCGCACACACAATATAACACAGCAAGGAACGAATACACGAAAGAAGGCCAGGATGAAGAGTGAAGGCGGAGAGCAACCAGGAACATAAGGTTAAGAAGACGAATATGTAATATCGGATTGGGGCAGCCTCTGTACATCTTCCGCCCGACCTTGTCGGTGAGGTCCTGAGCAGAAGCTTCGGTTGAGGACAGAAGCTCGAATCTCCTGATCCTGCTCCAGCCTCGCAGCATCATCCTCCTTATCCTCGTCTTCAGCCCTCCTCCTGCTGGTACCCGAACCATCACCAACATTACAATTACACCCACCAGTACTACTACCACAACCGTTACCACCACTACTACTACTGCTACTGCTACTACTACTACTACTACTACTACTACTACTACTACTACTACTACTACTACTGCTCCTCTTCGCTCCCCATCCCACCATCAAAGCCTTGCTCGAGAGCTGCATGGGAGCGGTCTTCACGCACCTGATGTAATCCACATCGTGACGTTCGGCGTCGCCTCCTTCCACGCGCTCCAGGACGTCGTGAATGGCAATGGATTAGGGAGAAAGCGGCGTACAGTCCACCAGTATAGTAAGGATGCGCGTTGACTGTAGGGAGCGGCGTAGAGGCAATCCTCGCCCTCATCCACCTCCTGGGTGAGCCTTCATGGGGGCCTGTGGACCTCCGCGGCCCTATCACGAACGTGCTTTCGACCCAGTGTCGCCCAGACTGCGGCCGCCCCGCTTCACCCTTTACGCCCAGACTTCGTCCAGATCTCGTCCAGGCATCGCCCAAACGTCCAAATTTCGGAGGGGGTCAGAACCCCCACCCTGATACGTCGATTAGTGAATTGTCTGTTTTCGGTTCTCGAGAGGGCGCCGCGGCCGTCATTTTCCAGGCTTGCGCCGCCAGTTTTGGGCCCGAGGTCGTTTTCACTAAACCACGTTCTACTGAAGGAGGTTCTGTCCCATCCCCGACAAATCGCAACCGAATCCGAAGAAATCCGGACGAAATCCCCAAACCGCAAGGGATTGTTGGACCCCCTGAGGCTCCCATGAAAGACCACACAGCTCCTCCTCTCTGCGCCGAACTTGCAGACGTGCTGCAGCGAATTGTTGCGCGGATGTCTGCCAATGCGAGACCCCGAAAAGGCGAGCGAAAAACGAAGTGACTTTCACGTGGATTTTTGGTTGTCTTCATTCCTGACCAGACCAAACAATGCGTAAGTAAGTTCGAAATCGGGAGCGAGAAACTGTCCAGGACAATCCAGGCCCATCCCCGCGTTTTCCGACCGAAATCCGCTCTGCTCTGCGATGTTGGCGCCATTACTCTTGCTCACAACGAATAATTACTTGGAGTCCTGAAAGGGTGCGGTGACAGACCACGCGGTGACCTGGACAACCCCCCAAGACCTCACCGCACGGCCCGCCAGCGCGCGGTCTTGGGACCTCGGATGCCCCCGTCGCCCGAGACGCCCTCGGAGAACGACCCGAGTCCCAAAACCGTGCGGTGACCTTGAAACCCACCGACTCACCACGCGGAGTGGTCACCACGGGAGGCCTGGAAATGGGCACCAACACCAACAGGGGGTTGCCTCCACAAGGGGGAAGATGATCCTGGATTTCGGTGTCGATGCTAATCTTTCGGTCGCCTTGGAAGCCAGAATATGACCACCGTCACCTACATCGGGACCTCCGTCCCTCGGTGGAGGCACACAGCCGAGATTGGTGTTGGTGTCAACCAACTTGCTTGGGGGCCCCCGAGAACAGCAGCAGCGTTAAGTCGGGCGTGTCTTCCTACATGGGGACTTTCGACGAACAATGAAGATACCCCAAGAATACTCCCAAATTGTCAAAACATACTTAAACAATAGTCCCCCGCCTCTTTTCTCCAATGTTTGAATGTTCCCCCTGTAGAGGGACCGGCCCGACTTTTAACAGCAGCGCCACAGAGCAGGCACGGGGCCCGGCGCGCGCCTGGGGCCCCCGCGGCTGCCTTGCTGTTCCGGCGCGCGGCGGCGCCACGGCACGCAGGGCCGCGCGCCGGGCAGGCGCACGCGCAGGCGGGGGAGCGAGGAGAGCCGCGCACGCGTGCGCAGCCACGGCGCCTTCCATGTTGGAACTCGGCGCCCTCGTTCGGCTGCGAGCGAGGGGGGGGGGGGAAGGCGCGAGAGGGAGAGGGCGCTCTAAGGGAGGCGGCGGGGCTTCTCGGGAGCCCGCGCGCCCGCCCAGAAGCTGTGGTCTGTCTTCGGGGAAGGCCCAGGAGGCTTCTCGGGAGGCCGGGGGGGCTCCCGAGCCCTCTGAGGAGGCCTGCTCCTTCGAATTTCCCCCCGGGCCCGCCGCCGGGTCTGAGCTCCACGCCGTCGCTGTCACCACAGTGCCACGCTCAGCACGGCAGGAAATGCCACGCGACGGCAGGCGTCGTGAGGGAGCCCCGCCCGGCCCACCCGAGCTGGGACGAAGGCCCCCCAACACCGAGCGGGTTACCCAGCGCCCGGGAGCCGGCAGGAGCGGGCGCGAGACGGGCGCACGGAGACGCGCAGGAGGAGGCCCCGAGGCCGAAGATGCCGCAGGCGGCCCTCGAGCGACGGCCCTCGAGCGAAGAGGGCCGGCCCGCGGCACGCGGAAGCCGACGGCGGCGCCACGAGGTGCGAGGCGGGGGCACATCCACTGTACCCTCAGCCAGCGGGCGGTGGGCGTGGGCACGTTTGGGCCCCAGGGGGCCTGCTGTGTCCACAGCCGCCGCCTGGGGAGGCCCACGAGGAGCGGTGCTCCAGGCGGCGGCCACGGAGAGCTCCCCGCCCCGGAGGAGGGCAACCCCTGCGACAGCCGTCCGCGCGCTTGCACCAGCCTCTGGACGCCAGGACGGGGCGCCACTCCCTGCGGCCGTCACTGGGAGGCGCCAGGTCGTGCACAGTGCACAGAGACGCTCTGCGTGCCATTGGAAGCATTTGCACCAGAAGCTCGATGCACGTTGACACTCCGACCCCGACACCACACAACGGTGCGATCGCGGAGGAAAAAACGGTGGGGGCAAGAATGCAACAAGACGCGTCATCAGCCGGAAGCCTCTGCAACTGAAAAGACTGAATGTTCCCAGGCCCTTTTTTCCAGTTCCCGATGAAGCAATTAAGCAATGCCGCAGGAGGAAAAGGGGGATGAGGAAAAGAAGACCGAGAAGCACGAGGAGGAGGAGGGGGAGGAGGAGGAGCAGGAGGAGGAGGAGGAGGAGGAGGAGAAGAAGGATGGAGAAGGGGAGGAGCGGGAGGTCCTGCGCGCCTGTGCAGCAAAAACTCTGTGCACGTGGACCCTCTGACCCGAATCGCGTCAGCTGCCGCATTGGCTTCCTGCCGTGGAGAAAGCTCTATACACAACGCCCAAGCGCCAATCCTCATCTGCACAATCCCTGCATAACGCACAACAAATCATCTGAGCTGAAATCGAAAAAGCCTCCGGGATGGAACGTCAGGAACGGGGGAAAGGGGGAGGATGGATGGGGAAGGGGGTGGAGAAGGAGAGGAGGGGGGGAGGAACAAAAGGGAAGGAGGGGGACAAAGAACGAGGAGGAGGAGGAAACTCCCACCTGAGAGGTCCCAGAATAATCCGCCGACCCCTTGGGGATCATCGGCGTGTGAGATGCTTCCCCCTCCCCAGACCCCTCCCTCTGGAGCTCGGTGAGGTCGATTTGGATGGGGGGCCGTCCGGCCGGAGCTCACCAGGGGGTCCGGCCCTTCCCGGGCTCGTTGTCGAGGTCCACGAGGCCCCCAAGACGGTCCAAGAGGCCCCGACGCCCAGGATGGCCCCAAGACGGCCCCATAAGCCTCCTGGACGGCCCGGGAAGCCTCCAAGAGCATCCCCAAGAAGGGCCCAAGAGGCCAAAATCGTCGAACTCTGATGGGGAAACATAATTACTGTATCATGCACGTTTTTCCAGCCTTCACGGCGTTGAAGACGGCCCCAGTCCCTCGAGACTGCGCCAAAACGGCCCGACAGGTTCCCAAGAGGCACTCGAAACGGCCCAAGAGGGCGCCAAGACGGCCCAAGAGGCTCCCAAGACGGCCCAAGAGTCGGCCCAATGAGGGGCCCAAGGGGAGGAGCCTGAATCAACAATCCGAGCCTTCCGCCCCAAAACGGCCCCAGGGGGGCCCAAGAGGCGCTCAACAGGGCCCATGGGGCCCCCAAGAGGCCCCCCAAAAGGCTCCAAGAGGACCCCAAGAGGCCCCCCAAGAGGCCGCCAAGAAGCTCAAAAGAAGCCCCAAATACCACTTGAGGCATGTAACTTCTTACCCGCAGTCCAGGCATCAAGGAACTCAGGCCGACAACCAAGGCACGGTGGCGGGATGGGCCGAAAGCCACTATGAACTGCCGCGGGCATCTACCTCGATCACGAAGAAGAAGAGGAGAAGGAAAAGGAGAAGAGGAAGAGGAGGAAGAGGAAAAAAGAAAGAAAATATCGTCGTCGCCGCCGATGTCGCCCAGATTATCGTGGTTTTTCGACCACCCGAGGCATCTCATCGAATTCAGCCTCCAGGAACCGCTTTCGGTGCTGGGGACCACCGCCGAAAGTCCAGGATCCTAGTTCTTGGGCGCTCTCCGCCCCCTCTGGGCCTTCAGGAAGCTCCTCGTCGACACAGGTGGGTCCACCCTCGAACTTCTGGACGGACGCAACCCCAGCTGGGTCTCAACGATCCCCGAGCCTATCCAGGAGGTCGAAAAGGAGGCCCGGGACAGGCCCCGCGAAGGCCCCGAGAAACTCACATACGACCACGAAAAACTTCAAAACAATCCCCCACACGGCCCCCCATTGAACCCCACACGCTACGTAGGACAGGCCGAAGCCCCAAGATTGCTCAGCGATCGCGCGCGTTCCGCGAATTCTGTCTTTCACTCTTGCTGCCGCCCCAAGGGGTCGACGGTGCGGCGTAAGCCAATGAATCAAAGAAGCCCAAACACTATGACCCATCATCCTTGTCTCCAAGAAACGGAAAAAAACAGGGGAGAACCGACGCCGCTGCCCCAGATGCGTTGACAAGGGCAGCCATATTATCTTGATCTTTTTGTGATAATTACAAGGTGAGAAGCATGGTTGATGGATTTCGTTGGGTTTGTTGCGGGATCTCTCAAACGGGAGCCTCCTCCGGTTTTGTTTTTGTTAGGGACCTCTCAGTCGGGAGCCTCCTCCTGTTGTGTTGCTGTTTGGGACCTCTCCGGCGGGAGCCTCCTCTTGTTTGATGTTTGCTTTCGATCCCTTAGGTGGGAGCCTTCTCCCCCGACTGTTGTCCCCTTCGACGGGGGCCTCGCCAGCGAGGAGTTTGGTTAGGGACCTCACCAGGTGGGAGGCCCCGCCGCGCGAGATGCGTATAGGGGACCTCTCGGGCGGGACCTCCTCCTCCCTCCTTTCTCCTTCTCGGATGGAAGAGGCCGGGGGGGGGAGGGGCGAGGGCTGGGGAAACCACAAGGTACCGATACCGCTACTCCACGGACCTCTCCCGGGGTGCGTCCTGACCAGCACTTCGAAGCTAATCCAGCGGTGGCGACGCGGGCCTCCGAGGAGCCTAAAGGGGGGAACGAGGGAAGGGTAGAGGTATGGGCACCTTTCAAAGGGGAGGAATCTGGAGGAGGGCGAGCCAGCGGAGAGAGCCGCAGGCGTGCCCTCCCCCAGGGGGGGCGCCGAGGGGGTGCTGGCGCGGCGGGCGGGCCTCGGCGAAGCGCTGCGCGGTCACAATGTCGTAGAGGACCTGCACTGGAGCCATCGCCGGGAGGATGAGAAGGAAGGAGCCCAGGGACACACACACAACAAATAGACACAAATAGCAGGATTCCCCAGATTCTCATATTCCTGGGCTTTCGTCGTCCCCCCCACTTCCCATATTTCTCCATACGTTCCTGGGAGTCGAGGATTACCTGTGTCTGTGTGATTCTCTCCCTCCTGAAAGAGAGGGGTCGAGGATGACGAGGCGGAGGCGGAGGCGGGTGAGGACCGCTGGCGGCGGGATGATTGCTGCAGTTCCGCGGCTCGCCCTTGAATTCCCACGACACGTCCAGGAATCTCGGGCAATCTCTGTGTGTCTCTCTCTCTCTCTCCTTCTCTGTTTCTCTCTCTCTCTCTCTCTGTTTCTCTCTCAATGTGGATTTGCCTCGACTGATATGGGCTCATGCCGGAATACGCCGACTTGTACCATTTTGAACTGCTAATGTTTGCTCGGTTCCACTAAGTCGATGGGAGAAGAGTCGCCCAGAGCGATTTGCCAGACATCCTTAGACTCTGTCCTCTGGTATCCTAGCTCAGGGCTCCGGGGTTCCCTCCTCCAGGAAATTGTTGACGGGTGTCCCATTCGCGAAATCCTGCGACATGGCTATATAGTTCTGGAAAGTAGATGCGAGACTGCATGATACGCACACTCGAAATCTTGCAAAATCGTCCTCAGATTTCAACCTTGAGCCAAACGAGCCATATCATAGAGGCGCGGAGAGAGACCGTGACGACTTGCCCCGAAGCGGGCCCGTGCGCCACTGAAGCCGTGGCGCGCCAGCCTTCAAAACAATTCGCCAAGGCGGGCCCAGCCCTAAAAAAGACATCACGGCACAGCCCAGCCGAGCAGCGCCTATACTCCTGCTGCAGAGGCCAAGGCTCGGCTGCTCGACGAGGCCTTACTTGCTTCGACGGGCCCGCGGGGCATCCGGCGCTGTTCGCTCAGCTGGCGTTGTTCTTCCCGCGGCCCACCTTCGACCTCCTCCTCCTCCTCCTCCTCCCTCGCCTCCTCCTCCTCCTCCTCATCCTCATCCTCCTCTTCCTCCTCCTGCTCCTCTTCCTTCTCCTCCTCCTCCTCCTCCTCCTCCTCCTCCTCCTCCTCCTCCTCCTCCTCCTCCTCCTCCTCCCCCTCCCCCAAATCCCCTCTCCTCCGCCCACTCTCCTGAACTCCCCCCTAATCTCATCCTCTCCCCTCCCTCTCTCCTCCTCCTCTACTCTCCCTCCTTCATCCATCATCAATCACGACGCCGCACAACTTCATGATCACAACATCACCCCATCGCTCACATCACCATCACCATCACATGACCATCACATACCCATCACTCATCATCTCATCATACATCATCACATAATCAATCATAATCATCTCATATCATCATCATCATCACCTATCATCATCATCATCATCATCTCATCATATAATCATCATAATCATCACATTTCAATTTTCTTTCCCCCTTTTGTTTCTCTTCCCTTTTTTGTTTCCTCCCCTTTTTTTTTCCGGCTCCTGCTCTGCCCTCCTCCTCTACTCCTCCTCCTCCTCCTCCTCCCCCCTCCTCCCCCCAACTCCCCCCTTCTCCTACCACCTCTCCTCCCCCCCTCTCCTCCTCCCCCATCTCTCCTCTCCTCCTCCTCCTCCTCCTCCTCTCCTCCTCCTCCTCCTCCGCCTCTCTCTCCTGCTCCTCCTATCCTCTGCTAATACATCCTCTCCTCTCCTCCTCCTCCTCTCTCCTCTCCTCCGCCTCTCCCCCTCCTCCCCCCTCTCCACAATTACTCAATCTGAATACTACTCTCCCTCTTCCCCTGATGACGGTTGAAAATGGCCGACCCCCCCCGCGTACTGATTTGTACACACAAGTTTCCCCGGAATTGGGTTGTCGCCTGCATTTGTTTTCAAAATGCTGCTCTCGCTGGGGCGCCGACCTCATTTTCGGGCCCCGCTCGTTCCGAATCGTGTTCCCGCTGCAGCGCTGGCCTCATGTTCGCGCTTCCGCTCGTTTTGACTCGTGCTCCCGCTGCAGCGCTGGCGTCATTTCCCATTCCATGCCACGGCATGCACTGCAATGCTAGGTTGATGCTACGCTTTGCGGTGCTCTTCTACGCCAGGCCATGCCGTGCTCTACAATGCATCGCGTACCCGTTCGGGATCATTGCCCTGCTCGACATCCGACTGAGCGAGTAGAGAGGGGAGCTGCGCCATGAGAAGGGATGGGAGGGAGGGGTAGGATGTGTCAGATATGACGCGAGCGCACCTAGCTTGTCCTCTCCCCTCCTCCCCCTCCCCTCCTCCGCCGCCGCCGCCTCCTCCTCCTCCTCATTTACTTGGAACTCCTCCTCCTCATTTACTTGGCACTCCTCCCTGCCAGCCGCCGACTGGATGCCAAAAATTCCACGAGCCGCTCTCCGTGGCCCACGCTCTGGTCGCATCACGGCCTCTTTCATCACGGTCACCCCATCGGGCGACCCCTGGCCCAGTGACCAGAGCTCTCGCTGCCCCACCAGTGCGCTGAGCCTTGCCAGGGCGTCAAGGAGGAGATGCTTCCTCCTGCGTTCCTCCACGAGCTGTAGCACGCCCCGATACTTTCCTTGTCACTTCCTTCGTTCGACCACTTGTTCGCACGATCGTCATCGGAGCGGTGTGAAATATACCTCTTAGAGCTGTGAGCTCTTCTAGGGTTCCATTCAGCCTCCGCGTCAGTTCTCCTCAAACAACGTTTTCGTCGTCGGTTGGTCCATCTGCTGTTGCCGACTCCCCCATCAGGATCCTCGGCATGGCCATCTTGCCTGGGCTGCAACCCCGCAGTCATCGGCGCCCGCGGCAGAGCCACGGGTAACCGAGTCAGCGGCGGTAGCGCCAGCACCTGCGGTTCCTTCTCCAGCTCTCGTCGACGCAGCGACGTCGGCAGCGCCGACCGTCGCCACCGCTGCACCAACAGGGCCATCTGGCGCAGCTGACACCATTACGACATCTCTCTATCACCTGCAGCACCACTGCCAGTAAGCTTTCCTGCACTCTTTGCCCCGGACGATCACTTTCTGATCGCCAATCGCCGATGCCTTTCCCCACACCAGGATAAATCGGAAACCGGCTCATCCGCTGTCAGGTCAGCCAACGAAGGCAAGACTCATGCGTTTTGGAACACCAGGATTACGATCGCAACCACTTACCTGCCATGGGAGCCAATAGCATACCACAGCTTGGTGATCGCACATGGGGATCAGCACGTGTCTGCGAGCACCCACTTTCCCCCTGGGGTCTCAAGGACAAAATGAACATGTGTTATACGACATGTGGTCAGACAGCAGCGACCTCGCCAGGATCGCGCTGTCCGGGTCGAGGTATTCGGTAGCCTCCTAGGGCGCCTTATGACGCGCAGAAACATTGAGAGAACAAACCGCGATCCTCGAACTCCCTCGAACCTCGAAGAAGGAGGAGCGAGGAGGCAAGATCAGTCACCATCGAACCGGGAAATCGGGCCGAAGCGAAATGTGTATCGGATCAGGCCGCATCGGAACGACACCGAAATCGAATCGGATCGGCTGCGCCAGGATGCACAGGCAGCGCCGTGGAAGCCTCGTCGGCGACTCCGAAGGGTGTGGTTTGCAAAGGGTGTGGTTTGCAACCGGCACCCTGGGGAACATCCCGGGGGGGCACCCCTGGGGGGCGCGCGGGGACTTGAGAGAAAGCTCCTCCGCGCCACGAGGGGCCCGACGAGGACAGTATCGTGCCCCCAGGCCCCAATGGTGCCGATCGCAAACCCCACCCCGGCGTAATCATTCAGGGATTTGCTGACCCTGGTCAATCCAGGCCCGGGTCAGTCAGGCCCTGCAAAACCCTGCAAGATCCTGCGAGATCCTGCACCCAAGCCCTGGTCAACGCGAAGGATCCTGCAGGATCCTGCAGGAGCCTGCACCCACACCCGGGTCGATGCGGCCCTGCCCCCGCAAGATCCTCCAAGAGCTGGCGCTCTGGCTGGTTCCCGTTTGCATTGACCCCCGCCTCTTGAGCCCCAGACCATACCCTTTGTAGCCGCTGGCTTCTTGAGCAGGGACCGACCGTCCCAGCATTCCTATAGGCCTACCACCAAAATTTTCTTGGAACCCAGAGATGCTCCAAGAACTAAAACAAGGGTCTTAGAAAACACACCCGATGTCTTTAAACACGCAGCCCCAGCCAGAAATGCTCTAAGAACATCTCGTGGAAACCACGACATGTTCTTAGAACATTGTTTGGTTGGCCTATGGGTGAGAAATATCCTCTCCACCTCCTTTACTTGGGCATCCTCGTTCACGTGTCCCCTCGGGTGTTGGAGGTGGGGGGGGTATGTATCTGACATCTTGAACAGCGGGACAGGTGCCCCGGCGCCGATCCGAGAAATCCGCGCGGACCTCAGAGTTTGTATGTTTATGTCATTGTTCGTTCCCCCATGTTCGTGTCAAAGCATACGTGGACGCTTCGCCACTGCTTGAGCTTCGGGCCGCACCGCATCGTCGGATGGCCAGAATCGAGTCGCGTCGGGCCGGGCCCGTTTCGGCATCGAGCCGCAGAGCGGGGGCCGACCGCCCAGGCACGCCCACGGGTCCACCATGGCACGTTCTCGGAAGCCACGTTCTGGGAAAGCAGAGCCCAAGAAGTAGAGCAAGGCAGTCCCAGCAAGAACCGTTCTCACAACATCTCGTGCAAGCGACGTGGGGGGTTCTTAGAACATTCCTCGGTGGGCCTCCAGGCAAGCCAGGACACCTCGCCACTGCTTGAAGTCGTCTCTGTCGAATCGGCATGGACACTTCTACAGCCCATGCGTAACATCAGGATGCGCGGTAAGGATGAAGGGCCTTGGAAGGCCGTGTCGACACTATGCGAGCGGGGCGCGGCCAGCGAACGTTGCCAAGGATGGGCCGAGGAGGCAAGGATGCAAGGGTACCCTTGGGAAGGTTGCCCATCCTTAGTATGCGGGCTGACTGTAGGAGGAGGAGGAGGAGGAGGAGGA